AAAAAAAAAAAAAAAAAAAAAAAAAAAAAAAAAAAGACACAAGCTGTATAAATCTGCCTCAACAAACTACAAAATGATTGGGGGGAAAAAAAAAAATCCTATTATACGTGTTCAAAGGCAGACTAGTACAAGAAATCTGAATTTTGGAGTTTGTTATCATAAATAAAAGGAAAAGTTTGGAGTCCAGTATTTACTTCCAGCCTGAGAAACCTTCTCTCCTGCCCTTCCTGCCCCCCCTGAGATAGTCTCTGGGTGGAGGCATCTTCACCTGATGCGAGTGGTCATGCGACAGTTGCATCCACGCTGGAAATAATCTCCAAATCCTGCAACCTCCCACTGGACTGGCTCACGCTGAATACCAGGCTGAGGAGGTCCCACTGGGAAGTCCTAAAATACACCCTCCCACCTCCAGTGCGCAGTTTCCAGGACTGTAGTGGGCTCTGTATGTGCATGGAGAAGCACAGGCACTGGGTTTGATTGAGAGTTTGCTTGACTTGATCATTTTAAACTCTCCCTTTTCTTGATTCTAATCAGCTCTTTATATATCTCCTGGGATTCCCACAGCTTTCCAGCTATGATTGGAGTCAGAGGTAGGTCTGGAAGGATGCTGACCTGACAGCATCGTTATGCTAGAGTTAATATTTTGTTGCACATCTACAATAGGTGAGATAAGTAAATATTATTATCTCAAAATCAGATATAAGGAAGCTGAGATGCAAAGAGGTTAATAAGGCTCATGGAGCAAGGTGGTAGTAACTCAAGAAATAAAGCCGGCACTGTATTCCACATGACTTAACAACTAGTTAATGCTCCTTTTTCATCGGTGCGCTTCTGCTATTTTTGTGCAACCTTGATAGGAGGTGCATGAGTTACGAGAAGCAACGGAATGAGCGTTGGCCTGAAAGCCACATACTTACAGGTTTATTCTAAACTCTGGCAATGATTTGCTAGCTGACCTTGGAAAATTAACCTCCGGTTCCCCATTGTAAATATTAAGTTAGTGGATGTTGTAGGGTTGATCACATCTGAAATGTAAGCTCTCTACTAGAAAGGTGAAAGAGGAGATTTGTTCAAACAGTTCGGAGTTTTCTCCTAGCAGCTTCAAAACAGCGTCAACAATGAAAGCCACTTAAGGAAGCCAGCAGAAAGGGTGGGTTAGGCTAATCGCTAAACCTGCTGGTGCGTAGAGTGCCAGGGATTAAATCACCATGAACTTCAGCTCTGACACATCATGTACCCCATCTGTCTCTCACGCCTCTCCAGAAGTGAGAGCTCCTTTGCGCCTAGAAGAGAGGAAACAAGCAGATATCTTTGCCTTCCTTCATTTCCCCCATTGATGAGGAACGTCTTTAAAAGTTCAAGAGAAACCTGGGAAAGTAAAGTTAAAAAATAAATAGCACCAAGCCGGAATCTGGCCTATCGCTATGAATAATGCATCAGGAATCCAACCCTGCAGCTCTCTTAGAGCCGTTTCCACTCAGGCATCGCTCATTAGCTCATTAGTCACAGCAGCCTTATTTCTACTAATTGATTTTACTACAATTCCCTACAATGTATGGCCAAGATCCAACATGTCTCTGCCTGGCTTTAAAACCATTACACCGGCACAGCTTTGCAAGACACTTCAGCCCTCTCTCTCAAGCCTGTAAAGGTCAGGTGGTTCCTGGAACTGGGTTGTTGGAAGGTGCCCTGGGGGAAAGGGCATGTGTCCCCTCAATTTGAGAGGCCACAGGCTCAAAGCGCCCTGCTGAGCAGAGGGTTGTGACTCTCACACCTCGTGGCAGGTCGGTTTGCTATAGAGTGGAGCTGCAGATGGGTACGGGAAGCTTGGCAGCTCTCTCCACACCGGTTTCCACTTTGGTGTTGGACTGGGACATGAGGGATGGTGGTTAGTGCGGGACCTGAGGCAGACAGATCAGACCATACTGCAAGGTGTCGAGGGGTTTCTTTAACTCTTCTGCTCTTCTTCTATTCCCACCACACCTCACTTATAGCCCTCCCCTCTGCCCCAGACAGGAAGGTAGGGAACAAGATGATTTATTTTTATAAGGAGTCTTGTTCCTGCTATGTAACGATTCACTTGTTTTGTTGTTTGGGGTGGTTTTTTTTCAACTCTTTTTTTTTTTTTTTCCTTTGAATCCAATGCAAGTACCTCCTATCTCCAGGTTATTATTTAGATTAACCTCTGTGTAGCACTTAACACTTTCTAGGTGGGACCTTCATATTTATCACTTGCCTGGCCAGTGGCCAGCATATGGATACAGTGGTCCTGTGGGTGAATCTTATGAGTTAACTACTAAAGTGTGTTCTCCCTCTCTGTTCATCACGTGTATAAAAAGGATTGATCATATATTTATAACTAGTGGGAATTAGTCTTCCTTCCCTATCAAATTTTCCTTGTTTCCTTTTTTTTCTTTTTGCTTTCAAGCTGGTATCTTTTCCCTTCCCATCAACCCTGACTGAGGCAATAATCACTTGGTTTGAGATTATTTGCTCCATCCAGCTTTCCAAGGCATTGTTAATGATGCAGGAACGTAAATCACTTGCTCAGCTTAGCTGTCACCTGCTTTTAATTATCCCCTATGTTACTCCAAGACTTAATCCACTGAACATGAGATACTTTCCTATCTGAGTCACTTCTCATTGACCCAGAAGGGAAGAACAAGGACAACACATGTAAAACAGTAAATGACCTGACTGAAAGGAAGCAGCTTTGCCTCCAGGCCCTTTTCATCTCCCTCTAATACTGCAGTGCTTGGCATTGAGGCTGGAAATATCCACATGTCTTTGGCTGAGGACGGGTAGGAGTGTGTTCTCAGGTTCAGTCTGGCCAAACCAGTAGAAAACCTGTGTCCTGAAGATATCTCCACCGCCCAGGTGATGGGCTCAGCCTGTCTCCCACCCGCTACAAGAAACATCCCAGGTTTGCTTTCCAGATGCTTGATGATTTCAGGAGATGCTTCTGACCCAAAAGCTTCTGGCTCCCGGACCATTTCTCCCTGGTAAAGGTAAGGGAAGAAGCTCTCTGATGACATTTCCCAGCCAGATGAGCAGTTCGGCCTGTCCGATGGTTCTGGCAAATGGGCAAGGGAAGGTCCGTGGGAGACAAGACCAGCTCATGGGTATTGGTCACAAGGCAGAGGAGCGCAAAGACCCCCAGCCGCACCAGCAGCAGAATTCACACAAACCCCAAAATGGTTGAGCTTG